ATGCAGTTAAGCTTAAACAAAGATACTAAATACGGAGTATAGTTTTTACATTACTAAAAAATATTCTATGTAGCTATTTTATTCATAATTTTTTTAAATAGTTTAAAATATCAATATTTTCCTATTTTGTCATGTAGATTAATATACAAAAATATGGTATTATTCATATTTAGAAAGTTGAAGAAAAAAATGAGTGAAGCATAAAAATAGTGAGACGAAAAAAATGAAATGATTTAGGGAGTATAAACTATAACTATGAACATAATAGTTCTAATATTAATATTAATATTAATATTAATATTAATATTATGTGATTTTTAGAGTGATTTGTCGAAAAGTAGAAAAATTTGAAGAAAATAAAAATAGTTGGAAGAAACTATAAGAACTTAGAAGAACTATAAGAAAATGGAAGAAACTGGAAATTAAGAATTTAAGCTCTAAAGAACAGACTCTACATGAAGTGTTATGAGTTACCACCAGTCACTAGAGTGTCACCACTAATCGCTGACGGTTGATTGATCACACTGTCATATTATATTGTCATCTTTTTTCCATCACACTTCCAACACATGATATTATTAAATCACATTGTTATTATTTTTCTATTTTCATCTTAAAAGACTCAAGACTCTTACTTTAATATTTAGTTTTCATATTTTTTTACTCTTATCTAGAGTGATTTCTTCTTCTTAAAATACTCAAAATCTCGAGCAATTGGAAGTAATGATAGAGGTTATTGCATATTTTATAATTAAAATTAATGGTCATTGAATATATTATAACTGTCGGTAAAAGTTGGATTATCTGCAAAAAATTGTGTGAGTAAAACATTTATTTATCGGTATTACCTTATTTTGACCAACATTAACATTGAATATAATTGTTACTACTACAACGTTTCACACCAACATGCTCTATTTATGTGATATCAACGAATTTCATTGACAAATAAAAAATAATACTCATACTTGTATTAAAAACAATGCATAATACGATAACATTTCAAAGGTTATAACAAAGCCATTTACTAGAAAGTAAACCAACATCTCAAAATTAGTTCTTCATTTGTGTGCGTTTCAAGCTTAAGTATAAACAGTCAAAGTGAACTGAATTAAAATACGCATTGGTATGGAAGATATAGTACAAAGCTTTAATGATCGTCACCGTCTACATCCTCAAGTTCATCGCTCTCTGCTTCATCATCTTTGTTCCATCAATCATCATCATGACTTTTCTCAGTGGTTGTATTAACATAAATTGTAAAGTCATCGATTTCAGATTTGATTAGCCGTTGAACCCTGTTGCAAAAAAATTGTAAGCATGTGATAGAGTAATTACAAATTTTGCACTAAATTTACCTTACACTCATGCTAGGTGGCATAATTTTAAACTATATAATGAACTAAACAAAAATCAAATGAAATATGGGTAGTTAACAATGATAAACTCACAAATTTTACACCAATAGAGGTACCTAGCCCTTAAGAGCCGGAGAGTAGGCAGGAATGTTTAGAACTTAACATGCGAGTACTGAAGTCTCGGGGAATGCTATTTTAATAACTGATTGACTCACATCACGCCTAAGTTTGATTGAAATTTGACAAAGCATATTCCCTCCGTCCCAAATTATTTGCCACATTTGTATTCCCAAGGCAAAATATTAAGTTTTTTCAATTCATTTTATTTACATATTGGTAAAAAAATAAAAAATAAAAATTACATATCAAAAAACTACATAAAAAGTTCTTAGAATTAAGAGGTGTCAAGAATATTTTATTTTATTAAATAACCAATGAAAACGTAGAAATAAACAAAAGTTTCCACGACTATTAAAAATCAAATGTGGCAAATAATTTGGGACGGAGGGAGTACACAACTAGGTTACTAGCTAGTGTGCAACCATTTTTGGTGTATAGCATATCAAAATGTTTGCATTACCTAGCACAATGCATTTCCATTTCATAAGAGCCCAAAATGTTATTGAATCACTTTAATCTTTAAGTTTGAAAATGACCACTTGTAATTTAAAGGAAAAAATATGGATTCCTCTCTAGGGAGCTGGAAGTCATCAATAAACATGTGATCAAATGTGCAAGTCTTTTGTCATGCAAAAGTAGTACCAATCTTACAGAGCTCATTATAGGATGAAACCTCCATTTCAAATGTCAAAAGTGAACTATAAATTTTTCAAAAATACATTAATTAAACCTACACATGTACTTTTTTCAAAAAAAAAAACCTATACATGTACTCTCTCGGTCTCGAAAAAATGTTATATTAAAAAAGTGAACACATATAAAGATTCTTATAAAATCTCTTATATTCTATTTGAAACACTCATTTCACTTAAAATGTTCTCAATTTCACAATTACTCGGTTCGGTATGGTTTAGGATGGCTCGGTATCATTTCGGTATAAATCGAGATGAATATATATATACGTACATGCATACAAACATGCATACATACATGCATACATACATACATACTATACACCTTAAGGTGTTATAATACCCCTTTGTTTTTGAAAAGTTGAAAGTATATTTTAGTAAAGAAACATAAAAAACTAAAAAATGAATATTTAAATGCAAGAAATGCGTATCAAAACTTAGTTTTGTATTTCACAAACTAAAAAAATGAATGATTAAAAAAATTTTATTTCGAATGGTTGTGAATACTTTTATATTCAAATGCAAAAAACTAAAACTCAAATAAAGTATACCTTGCACATGATAGAACTTGAACTAACTTTTCAATAAATTTATTATTTAGTGAAGAAATATAAAAAGATTATTATTTTATACTCCGTAATATATTAGTATATATTTTCGGTTTGAAATTTTTAGTATAAGACGTCACCTCGTGCCGTTTTGAAATGTTGTATCGACCAGTGGCGGATCCAAGATTTCAATTAGATGGGGGCGCTATTGGTCAAGGGGCCGGGGGCAGTGCCTCTCGATTTTTTTAATAGGTTATATGAAATGACTAAAAAATATTGAATCTTAGTTTAAACATTTATTGAATGTGAAATATTTTTTAATAGACATTGTGATTTTAATTTCATAAACAATTCATTATTTGGAATAAAATACTCGCTCTGTCACTAAATAGATTATAATTTTTTTCTCTCTCCTCTCGATAACTTTTATTTGTTTACGCAATTTCATTAAGTATTTGATAAAATAAAATATTATTTTCACATCTTATTTTGTAGAACTTTTGACGTAGTTTTTTACTTCCTCCGTCCCAAAATATAATGCATGTTTACTATTCACAGGGTCAAACTTCATTCACTTTCTTTCTCTATTTTTGTTAGCAATTTGATAAAATAAAATATTATTGTCACTACTAGTTTTGTAGATCTTTTGATGTAGTTTTTTAATATGTAATTTTTATTTTTTAATTCTATACCATTTTCATATAAAATGGTTTGAAAATAATTTCAGTCAATTATCGTAAACCGAAACAGGCGTTATAAATTGGGACGGAGGTCGGAGGTAGTAATATGTAATTTTTATATCTTATTGATATACCAATTTGTAAATAAAATGATTTCAAAAAATAAAAAATTTTACTCTGTAACCCGCAATTTGTAATCAAATTGGGAACGGAGGAGTATATGTTACTAAAAAATAAACAAAAATTAAAATTAACCTAATTATATGTGGTCACACTAATTTTTGTTGGGGGCACATATATAGAATTTTTTTAAAAAAATTATTTTTACTTTATTACAAAAATTTAGTAGGGGGCATATGCCTCCAACTCCTACACACTACATCCGCCAATTGTATCGACCGATCAATTTGATACGGTTTGGTTCTATCCAATGTTATTAGATCCGGACCGGACCGGTCGGTCCACTTGGTTGGACCGCGAACCGAACACCAATCCTGTCTGGTTCAACATCAAAACTCGCCCTTGCTTTGACCCGTAATTTTAAAAAAACTTCTAATTATTTAAAAAAAGAACTATGTTTATATAATATATTTATAATGTTAATTTTTAAAGTAATTCAAACTTAAATATAATTAGTATTATTTATTTTTATCTTAAGAAAACTATAAATAATCTATACTTAATGTATTATTCTTTATCTTTAAATTATTAATTATAATTTAATATGTTGCTTTTTTATATTTTCAATCATTTTAATCAACAAAATATAAATTTTACTCCGTAAAATGTAACTAGTAAATAAGAACATATTATCTATTCTTTATTGTTTTAAAAATATGAGTATTGCCTTATAATTTAAGTGTGTGTTATACATTCATTGTTAATTTTTAATAATAATAAAAGTAATTGAAAAAATAGAAATTGTGATATAATATATGCACAATGATATTAAAACTAGATGGAGAAGTAAAAACACAAGCTAAATACTTTTTTTACCTAAAAATATCTAATGATATAATATAAAATATTACTCCCTCCGTCCTATAATGATCTTCCCGGTTCATTTTACGAAGTTTGACCGACTTTATTTTCAATTCAATTTATTTGATTGTAGGTGTAAAATTAAAAAATAAAATTTATATATTTAAAAACTGTATCAAAAGTTCTACAAAACAAGTGGTGACAAGACTATATTATTTTATCAAAATACCTAATGAAAATAGGTAAAAAAGTGATTAAAGTTTGACCGAATAAAAAGTGTGTGAGAAGAACATTATAGGACGAAGAGAGTAGCATTTTATTTATAGTTTGACTGGGTCGTTGACTTGAGTTGACCTCGATTCAACTGGTAAACCCTTGACTCAGTGCTTGGTCTGGGTCGACGTCTGGTCTAGTTTTCAGAACATTTTTTCTATCTCGGTATTTATTTTGATTTGTTATTTTTTTATTTAGTATTATTAGTTTTTTCGAAAAATTTTGAGATATTTTCGAGCATAAAATGAGAAGTGATGGACCCCACGTTACCTTGACCACCGACGGGGGTCTAAATGCATTTCGGGACGATGTCTATAAATACACATTTGACCTTGCGCTGACATTTCTTCTTCTCCTCCATTCACTTACAGCTTGAAGAGAGAGAGAGAGCAGAAGAGATCCTTTCTCTCTCTAAAACCAAGCTTCTAATTTACGAGTAGATCTTGATATTATATACGTAGAGTCGTTCCTTGTACCCATAATCCGCCGCACGATTCCAGGGTTTCTGAAATTCCTTAAATTTTTGTTTAATCGAATTGGATTGAAACCGTGAAACGGATCAGATCCGATGGGCGATTCCTTCTGTGCCGACTGCAAGAAGAACACCGAGGTGGTTTTCGATCACGCCGCCGGAGACACGGTGTGCTCCGAGTGCGGGCTTGTTCTGGAATCTCGCTCTATAGACGAGACTTCCGAGTGGCGTACTTTTGCGGACGATTCCGGCGATCACGACCCGAACCGTGTTGGAGGGCCAGTCAACCCTCTGCTGGGCGATGTCGGACTCTCTACTGTGATTTCCAAGGGCCCCAACTCTACCGGAGATGCGGCCTCGGTGGCCCGTTTGCAGAATAGGGGTGGTGATCCTGATCGTGCTCTGGTTATGGCTTTTAAAGCCATAGCTAACATGGCTGATAGGTGTGTATGCTATGACTTATGAAGTACTCCTTATGATTTAGGCAAGGGTTTTAAGGTAGGATGCTGGAGCGCTTTTGTTGGGGGTGAAATTGGAGATATTAGCAAAGTAACAGATGACAAACTTTGCTGATTAAATTTATGATCCGATCGAACAAAAAATTGCTCGGTTGATTGGGAACTCCATAAGAAAATTATCCCTTCTACCAACTGTGATGATAAAATATACTCCCTTGGATTTGTATCTGTTGTAATTTTTTTGTGTGGACAAAAGTACAAATTTTTCATTAACCAACAAACACGGTACAGCTTTAATTACAACCAATCAAAGTTTATTTAAGCTTACAAAGAAAGTAGTAGTTAATATAGAAAAAGGTGTTTTTAATAGCTGCTTCAATCGAATATGATTTCCCATGGATCTTACCATTTCGCAGCTTCCATATGTTATTTTTTAAAATCTTTCTTATACTCAAAAGTGATCAATTCAATGGATTTTTAATCACATTAGTGGACTGATCTTCTTCTTGATTGCAGGTTGAGCCTTGTCTCTACTATTAAGGTATAGTTGTTTCATATAAATAAACACATCCCTTTTCACATGTATGCTAGAATGCTAGATTCTGTTTTAATGCTCTATTTGTGATGTGCCAAACTTTTTGAGTGAGATATTATTGCCCTTTTGTAGAAATTGTGCTTTTACATGTGGGTTGTTCTATCACTGATTTTTCAGCTTGGAATTACTTTTGTTTGAAGTGGTGGGTTCCTCATTTAGCTTTGATTTGTTGCATCTTATTCTAAAGGATTGATTTGTATCTTTTGTATTGTGTGAGACTTGTGAGTGCACATGAGATTTGTATTGATGTCTAGTTGCCACTCTCATGTGTTTTCATTTCAAACCTTTCAGTTTGTGTGTGGTTATGGGGTAGATTCCTAGTTTCCAATCCATCATGGATGTGTGTGAATGTGATGCTGTAATACATGAAAAAATGTTTAATGTGATGACGAAAATGATCGCACTCTTTACTATGAAACACAGGACCGTGCTAGTGAGATTTATAAAAGATTGGAAGATCAGAAGTGTACAAGGGGGAGAAACCTGGATGCTTTGGTGGCTGCTTGCATTTATATTGCATGCAGACAAGAAAGCAAACCTCGAACTGTAAAAGGTTCTGTACTTCTACCTGCTTAAGTTTCATTTGGGTAGTTTACGCTTGTTGTCTATGACTACTTCTCAAAACGTGTGGACTTATCATCATTAGAGATATGCTCAATTGCGAATGGACCGACAAAGAAGGAAATTGGCCGAGCAAAGGAATTTATTGTGAAACAATTGAAGGTTGAAATGGGGGAGTCGATAGAGATGGGCACCATTCAAGCAGGGGACTATCTGGTGGGTAATTAATAAATGCCATCACTCATTTCATTCATCTTGTGATGAAAGTCCTGAATTTTCTTTGTGCAATTTTGTCACGTACGGAGTACACAGTATTATTTAATAAAATGCAGATACACTATTTTGCTGATATTTGCACAATTCATATCTGTCGTCGATTCTACAGAGGCGTTTTTGTTCTAACCTTGGAATGAGCCACGAAGAAATTAAAGCCGTTCAGGAGACTGTCCAGAAGGCAGAGGCGTTTGATATTAGGTACTTTTGAGTTTTTCTTGTACTATTACTATTGAAATATCAATCCCAACATAGTTGTTTCTTAAACACCATTGACATCCTTGACCAGTGTCAACTTATGTGTTATGTAGTGTGGGCAGATGTGAAATTACAAGCCTAACCCTCTTCCACTTTGTTCTGCAGGAGGAGTCCAATATCTATTGCAGCTGCAATTATATACATGATTACTCAGCTTTCTGATTCAAAGAAACCATTGAGAGGTTTGAGCACACTGCTCTCTAAAATATACTGAATATTTATTATTATTATTATTATTATTATCATCATTATTATTATTATTATTATTATTATTATTATTATTATTATTGCCTTCTGGAACTATGAACATAATAATTAGGTTCTTGAGTCATGGCCCACACCAACTGAACCCTAATACCGGAGTAGGAAACAATATTAAGTACTCTACTTTGTAGTTTGTTGTAGTACACAGTGAAGTATTTCTTTACAAAAACAGGTAAGATTTTAAATTGAGAAATTTACCTAAATAGGACTAAAACATAATGACTTTCCCAATATAGGACCATATGTTTTTATTTCCCAATGTAGGACCTTTGGTCATTATAAAGTAGTCATTATTCAAGTAAATGTCCATCATTACTGGACATTATTCTTCCCACTAGGTCATTATTAAGTCCTATTTAGGGAATAAAAAAGTTTAAGTCCTACATTGAGAAAGTCATTATGTTTTAGTCCTATTTAGTGCTAATTTCACTTTTAAATTTCCACTAGTAGATGTGTGGTTGTTGAGAATGAGTTGCATCTCTCTTAAGTATGGCACTCATTGCGATTGAATGCCTCGTTTGGATAGGCACCCCTTTGGAATTCCCTTCTTCCCCGGAGTTGGGTGAACTCCTGTCATTCCAAACATGTTTTCTTTTGCAATTTAACACCAAGCATTTCAATTCTAACCCCCAAACCAAAATATGAATTGCTAACTAGAGTTTATGCAGCAGATATTTCGTTTGCAACTACAGTTGCAGAAGGGACGATCAAGAATGCATACAAGGATTTGTATCCACATGCTACGAAAATCTTGCCGGAATGGTATACCAAGGATAAGGACACCAAAAACCTTTGCAGTCCCAAGGGATAAAATCAAAGAGAGAGCCCGGAGCTGTCTTTTTCTGCCTAGCTAAAGTCTCTCCGATCACTTTCATGAGAGTTCTTCGGCAGGAGAAACGACTACTGATTGTTGGAAAGTGCAGGGGATATACAGTTTATAGCATGGAGTATCATTGTTACCTTCCTTTTCCCTTTTCCATACAGACCATAACAATTCAAATTTGCATTTCTTGATGCATCAATTGACTGGTTCCCTATGGGGGGGATGAGTGTCTTCCTTTTCCTTTTCCTTCTTTTGTTGGTTTGTTGTCTTTTTTTTTAAGAATGCCCATGTGCGTGTGAAAGAAGTCTTGTTTTTTAAGACTTGCGAACGTGGCTTTGATTGTATGGCAAGTTTAATAATCTTTTTTGGTCAAATCCTTTCTTCACAAGGAAGAAAGGAGTTAAAAAATGTTTGGCTATCTGTCCCTAAACTAAATTGTAGTTTGATTTAATTGATCTTAAAGTGTGTGGTAAGAATTTATCGGGAGGAGAGATGCTTTGAAAGAAGAAAAATGTTTTGGATCACTTGTGTTTTTTCCTTAGAAAGAATTTTCTTGTGAAGAGAAGCTTGGCTTTTATTTTGAAATAGATGAATAGAAAGATGTGCATTTAATTTGACAACAAATGCATGATTAGGAGTTTTTTGGAATTAGGAGTTTCTAGTACTAGTACTATCATTGGTATCTATTGACAATTCTTCTGCCTTCGGTTTGTTTTGTGCAACTGTGCTGTGTTAATTTCTCATTTTCAAAAATCACTTTACAATTTGTACTCCCTGTGAGACAATCAAGGAACAGTTACACTATGCTTAGTTTGTGAATATAGTCTTATATAGAAGAAAGAAAGATGTGAATGAAAGAAAAAGAAAGAAAGATGTTAATGAAAGAATATATAGGCAAACAAATCAGAAATCTTAGGGTCCGTTTGGAAAGGGGGGAAATGACTTCCGGAAGTCATTTTTCCCATTTTCGGGTGTTTGGTAATAAACTCAATGGAAAATCAGGTGTTGTCAACTGGAAAATGAGGTCTCAAATCTGAATTTTGACCTCCCTTTTTCTTATATCTCGGAAGTCATTTTTCAGCGGTTCTCTTCTCATCCTTAATCTTCGACCTTCATCCATCCTCCTTGCGCCCTTCTTTCCTGTCGCCATTTGACACCCCGCCCCCACCGTCTGTCACCATCACACAGTTGTTGTCGCCCTCGTCACCACCCAAGCATCGTTGCAATGTCAAATTTCTTACTTGTCTTCCAGAATTCAAAGGTTAAATTTGTCATCGTTGTGATGACAAATTTCTTGTTTTTCCTCAATTAACCTGAAACTTGTGCATACTCTTACACTAGCCTAGATCCTCCATTTAAATTTAACAAATATAATAATTAGATGACAATAATTACTTGTCTTTTCACAAAAGAAGTGTCATGTCAATTTTATACCTTCATGGCCAAAAACCTCACAAAGTTTAGTCAACCTTCTTAGCAAAGTCACCACTTAGAACATCTCTAATGGAGCTGCATATAAAATTATAAAAAAAGTCTGGATAATTTCATAGTTTTGGCACCAGCATTGATCTAATGTTTTATATAGACACACAAAGACAATATCTGTCGGTGTGGCATCAACAGTTATTATTTGTGTTTGTCTATGCAAATAATGAAGTTAATAATGATGTCAAAATTATGGGCTTACCTTAGCACAACTCTTAAAAACATTAATAATAAAGGTTGTTGTAGTATATTCGGCTCTCGAGCACAACATCTATATATCATCTGGTCATTTATATTTGCTATAAGACCCTTCATATAACTAGACTATTATTCACAAAAACTAATTATTAAATTAATAAAATAAAAAATCAACATGATATAAACTCAACAAGAGCTATTGATGGTTTGATGTGCAGCCATTAAACAATGATAATAGAAGAGGGAGAGAAAATGAAAAAATATTTTTTTAATAAGTATATAACAACTCAAATTTACCATTTTCAATTGCACCTGATAGAAATAAATGAATCTTTAAAATATTACTCTCTATATAAGTGTTTCACAAAGATATGACAACTCATATTTTGATCTCTCATTGAAGATGTTTTGAACGAGGAACAAATAAGCAATTCAAAAAGAGAAGTTTTTATGACACTCTATAAAGTTAAATTGAAAACTTTGTACGAGTATAAGACCATTTTTAAATTTCTCTCGAGAGTCAAAATAGAATTACCTCCGTCTCAAAAAGAATTACCTCTTTACTATTACGGTCTCTCGATAACTCTTATTTGTTTGCGTGTTTTTATTGATTATTTAAAAAATAAAATATTCTTGTCACCTCTTGTTTTGTAAGCTTTGCAGTGGTTAGTGGTGAGCTTTGCGTCATCTCACCGAAGCATGTCATCTCACCAGTGTGTGTGTGTGTATATATATATATATATATCACTTTTGAAGCTTTCCTTCCCGTTACACCTCACAAACACACCAAAGATATGAACCATAACTGTTAATAATCTCAAACAACAGAGAAAAAATTTCAGTTCATTTTTTGTTTTGTTTTCGTTTTCTGGGTTTGGGTTCTCAGATTTTCAGCAATGGATGCGTTCTGTTCGGACTGCAAGAGGAGTACGGAGGTGGTGTTCGACCACTCCGCCGGCGACATGGTCTGCTCGGAATGCGGCCTGGTCCTCGAGTCCCACTCCGTCGACGAGACCTCCGAGTGGAGGACCTTCGCCAACGAGTCTGGCGACAACGACCCCAATCGCGTCGGCGGCCCAACGAATCCCCTCCTCACCGACGGCGGCCTCTCCACCGTCATCTCCAAGCCCAACGGCACCACCAGCGATTTCCTCTCCTCCTCCCTCGGCCGCTGGCAGAACCGCGCCTCCAACCCCGATCGCTCCCTCATCCTCGCCTTCAAAGCCATCGGCGTAATGTCCGATAGGTTCGTCTCCATTTCCTGCGCATTTTGCATTTCTCAGTTTTAAAGAAACAAATATTGAAAACAGAGATTTTTATTTATCTTCTTCTCCATTGGACCTTCCAATTCCTGCAAATTTGAATCTTTTTTCTTTTAACATGATTTTGGGTAATGTGATTGCTGAAACTCTGCATCAATTTTGTTCAATTTTGATTTGGAAAAAGGCTGGGCCCTTTGGGCATTCTTGAATTTATTCTCGTCTGGAATTTTGGTTGCAGAAAACATGTAAAAGAGTGTAATGATTTATGAGATTCAGATTGCATATGTTCTTTGGTTATGTGATTGCATATATAACATATGGTTGGTAATTGGTATGTTAGCTCAAATCAGACTTTTTTTTTCTGCACTTCTTGTTAATGGATCATTGTGTTTGGGGATCATAATTGTTTATCTGTCAATAATTTGTCTTTAATGGCCACTGATGTGATTTCCTTTTGAAATTTTCAGGTTGGGTCTTGTAGCCACAATAAAGGTGTTTTCTGTTCAAGAAGTCATGGTTTCATCTTCTGCTGGTTTATCTTAGGATTTTTTCTTTCCAAAAGTTGTTTTTCAGTTCAATTCATTTGACAATAGGCATATAATTAAAGAATAAAACTTACTTCGTATATATTTAAAAATTACATTAGAGGTTCTACAAAAATAAGAGGTGGATTGACTAATTTATTTTATCGAATGATGAATGAAAAATATGTGATGAACAAAGATATGGTTCAACCATTTGAATGGTGAAGTAGAACCTTATTTAGGGACGGTGCGAGAATGGAATAATGGTTGCTTCGGATAGAAAGATTGCATCTATGGTCATGTTTCATTCTTGGCCCTAGCCATAAGCATGAAAAGATGGATAGTTATGTAGCTGGTTGACACTGGGTTTTCTTTTATTAATTGGAAGGATCGCGCGAACGAGATTTACAAGAAGGTTGAAGATCAGAAATCAAGTAGAGGAAGAAACCAAGACGCTATTCTAGCTGCATGCATATACATAGCTTGTAGACAGGAGGACAAGCCTCGCACAGTAAAAGGTACCATTTCGTTGTCTACTTTCTTTAAAAAAATCATTTTTAAGAAATGAGTTTAAAGCGTCAATTAAGTCCTTCAAATTAGTTTGTTAACCATTCATATCAACGATTCTCATATCTTATATCTAGAGCATTTGTGTTTCGACTAGAAATTTACTCTGTCGCGAATGGTGCAACCAAGAAGGAGATTGGCCGGGCAAAGGAATACATAGTGAAACAATTAGAGCTTGAGATGGGTCAATCGGTTGATATGGGCACCATACATGCAGGGGATTTTATGGTGAGTCCTTTTTTTCTTTCTCTTTTTGCAAAACACTAATGAACCTATACATTCTTTCTCCTTCTTGAGATCAGATTCTAACCTGTCTTGTTCCTTCAGAGGCGCTTTTGTTCAAACCTTGGAATGGCAAACCATGCCGTTAAAGCTGCCCAAGAAGCTGTTACAAAGTCAGAAGAGTTTGACATAAGGTCACAGTGTTACATTTCTGCATTTTTCATTCACCGAGATGCTTGATTGTGTGAAAGAAAAAATGGGTTGAGGCAATGGGGAGGGGGTAAAAGAGCAAGACATCGATACCAAAAATTTACTGCCATTGCTTTCTTTTCACTGCAGGAGGAACCCTATATCTATTGCCGCAGCCGTTATATACATAGTTACCCAACTTTCAGACGATAAAAAACCTGTCAAAGGTAATAACCGATCCCATACATGTTATTATACCTCTCAAAGCTTCTTCATATGCTAAGGAAGGAAGCATTTGACAACCGTCCAGTTACATTTTTCAACTTCACATTGCCGTGTACGAATATGATATGTTTCAAAATGCATTGGGTGTGTGCAGATGTGTCGCTTGCAACAGGCGTAGCAGAAGGGACAATAAGAAATTCCTTCAAGGATCTGTACCCACACCTCTCAAAGATTGTGCCGAGTTGGTATGCCCAGGAACAAGACCTCAAGAACCTCAACAGCCCTTAGCATATACTGCTTCTTTGTTTAATCCTAACCTGCATTACTCTTGTAGCCAATTGTCTGGTTTTTGTTTATGAGGATCTCCGCATTATAAGCCTCAAATGCAAATAATCCTCGTTATGTAATCACACTTGTGAAATTCTGAACAGTTTGGGCTCTAATCTTTTGAGTCTATGAGATATTGTCTTTTGCTCTTGTATGTTATGTTTACCTTCACCTTTTCACTTCATTGGAAGCAATGGTGTAAGATGCATAGCCGATGAACATTAACTCAATCAGCCTACATTGCCTTCACAAGTGTTGCAAAATCGACGGAGTCAAATTAAGGAGTTTCGGAGTTTTTTTCCTGCTAGAAAGTAACCAGCGATGACTAGGGCAAAAGAAAGAATAAACTGAATTTAACCTATAAAAAATAATTGCTGATTCAAGAATGTGGTGCCAAATGCCAATATGGAGAAAGAAAATGTTTGAGTTTTTGAGCCAAGTTTCATTTGAGATAAGAGTAATAATTTGACATCAAACATATATCGCCATTGCTTTCTTTTCACTCAAAGAGGAACCCTATATCTATTGGAAAGTGACCAGCAATGACTACTGTGAAAGAAAGAATAAACTGAATTTTACCTTTAAAAAATAATTACTGATTCAAGAATCTGGTGCCAATTATGGAAAAAGAATATGTTTGGATTTTTGGGCCTAGAAGAGTAAAAATTTGATGTCAAACATATATTGCCATTTCTCTCTTTCCATTCCAAGAGGAACCCTATATCAGATTTTTTCACTTAATCAGAGAATGGTATTGGAGAAAATATTACAGTAAAATCTTCTCTATTTTCAGCCAGGAAGTTGCCCCCTTGTGAAACTTAAGTAACTATACAAGGCCAACAAAAATACCCCAGAAAATGGCACAAGCAAGAAAAAACTGTATTTAAAGCCAGAGTATACTATGCAGTGCAGCACATTTCATTGTGCAACTTACATCTGAAAATGGGCCAAGTGAGGATAGAGTCTTCACAGCATAGCCAAACAATACTCACAAATTGAACATGAAAGCCTATGGAAAATTGGAACATAACAAAACTAATGTGCCTAAGGTCTAAACATATACAAACCCATGGGATTGATGGGGCAGGGTATTCAAACACAAGAACATGTTTGCACCTTTCTCATGCCAAAATCCCATGGAATTAGAAACATGGAATCGTAGGAGCATAAACCTGTTCAAAACTACTGATCAAGCCAGCCCCATGCTCCAAGCCAGCCCCGGCGTCCCTCAACCTTGATTGAGTGAAGTGTAGACTGAAGATGGATCGAATCAACGCATTGTCATCAATGTCCGGACCTTCTTCTCTCTCTCAGCTTTCTTAGCGCTCGGCGTCCTCTTCATCTTCTCCAGCTCTTCTTTCAGTGCCTTTTCAACCTTGTCGATGGAGTCCAGCAGCTTCCTCTGAGGAGTCACATACTCCCATTCCTTATCGGGTTTCGAGGAAGAAGAAGGTGGACACAATCTAACGGCTAAGGGCGTGGTGCTCGGATTGTTGTGCTCAAGATAAGCACTTTCTTCAACGTCTGTGTAGACCTGGAACACGGGTGTCTCTGGCTGTTCATCTCCGCCTTCTCCTCTCAGACGCTCTCTTCTCCTCTGATATGCCTGTAGGAAATCATTAATTATTACTCGGCCGTATTTAATCTCATTATAATCACTGTATGAACATCGCAGCTAGAATTAATTGATACTCCTCAAAGAAAATTAAAGATTTACGGAGTAATTGATTGAAATGAGGGGAAAAAATTCAAGATCTNCAATTCGCTGCGGCGAGGCTGAACTTGCCGGCGGCCGCCTCCACGGCCACGCCTCGCGAACGGGCTCCTCCGGACGCGTCCGCTGGTGTCCGGTGCTGCGGGGGTCTCGGCTCCTGGAGATGCCGTCTCCCCCCAGCGGTAGTTCCCACCGCTGCCAAAAGCGAGCTGCTGCCGCCGCCTGATATAGAGTTCGGCCAGATCGACGGCCCTCATAATCCTGTCCCTGGCTTCTGGCATTGTCGCGACGGATTCCGGTAACCGGCGGCGGAGCTTCTTGATGAATGGGGGGGGGTGAAGAGAGCGCTCGAGGGGAGTTGGTTGAAAGGTTATGCGAGAAGAGAGGATTTTGAAATGGGGGCTTTGGGCGGCATTTTATTCTGGAAATGAAAAATTTAAATTTTTCATTCTTTTTTTTACGGAGACGAAAATCGAAATTTTAGGGAAACGAAAATATTTCGGGATTTGAATTTTCAAATTTGCGCCTGAGCTGCGAACTGCGTGGATTTCGCCTCAAACGGCGTCGTTTCCAAAAAACATCCTTGCGAATTGCCCAACTTACCAAATCACTCCGTACAAGTTGAGAGGGTTCACCCATTAAGCATGAGAAAAATGCTAGGGGTACACCATTTGTCCCACATCCCTTCCATCACCACACAAAAATACAATAAATTAAAATAAAATTAAATAAATAAAAATAAAATAAAATTGAATGATGGATAAAGGGGTGAGGGACAAATGGGGTACACCTTTTGGTGTACCCCTAGCATTGCTCTACGCATAATTACCTTTTTAGTTTCAACAAATAATCAGTTTACCTTTTTTAACCTATAATCAGTTTTCACTCTCACAATTATCTTTATACTAATTTTTTTTTAAGTATTTAGGTTGTAACAAAACTTTCCTCAATCTTTTTATAGGAAACCATAGTTTTGTATACTCTTATTGATCTTTCTCCCACGAAAATAACAATAACACAACTTTAATTTTAATAAAAATCATGTTTTTATTAATTAATGACTTGATATCAAGGAGATTAAAGACTAAAGAAGTGTTGAGATTTAATTAGAAGAAGGAAAACAACTCTGAAAGTCTAATTTTTCTTTTTCAACAAAGACGGACAATATTATTGAGATGGATAACAATCAAAATGACAAAAAAAGAAGCAAAACGAATGGGGTATAAAGTGACCAATAAATATATTTTGAATACGAAAAATATTAGAGTCACAAAGAAACAGTTCATAAATTTGCCTTTTATAAATTTTAAATTTAAATACTTTTTTATTATTTGAGGGCATCCTATCATAGTGAAGTGTTAAACAGAAAAGTTTGTGAATTTCGTGAATTTACTTTTTTGTTGAAGCCCTAACATTACTCTTTTGAATAATAGTTTTCCCATAAATCATTCATGAAACAAAAATATAGCAATAAAAAGACTAAGAATTTATGTTACTTTTGATTTTTTTAAATTACAAAATCATATATTCAAATAGAGATATTTTAATTTTGGTATGAGCATTCACAATAGAGATTACATCTTTCTTTGCAACATCCATGTCAAAAAACATGTTAATTTGTCCATTTTTTAATCAGTGAATGCATATCATTAACAACCCTTTATAATTAATTATCTTTTGCACTCTCATATACATGTATTTGTTTACTATTCAAGAAATTGCATTTCATGTAGTATCTGTTGTATATAGGGATTATCGACCCATAAAAATAAACATGAACTCTCAACATTATTTGTAAAACCATTTTTTATCATGTGGTGGAGCCATCGTTAGTACACGACAGAATCAAATATTTGTATTAATAAGCTCTTTTCCATTCACAAACTGTAACATGAAACATCTATGATGCATAAGAAATGCTAGAATTACAAATTAAATAGTCACAAAACTTACAAACTCACTATTATGAAATATAAATTTTTATATTAATTATTAGAGTTTATGTCATGCTCTTAACAAGGTTGACAAATAGTAAATTTGGAAATTTTATATTTAGTTTGTGACTCTAATGTTTCTCATAATTTATTGTCAAGAAACTAACTCGACCAAAATTTCAAACTTGCAGTTGAAGCTCCAATAAATGTTTTATACTCAAACACGATTCTTCATGTGCAGGCGAAACTTGTTTTTGTTCAAGTCTTACACGTGAAAGTTGATCTTTTAAACCGGGTGTGTGGGATGTGTTAGGACCAGGCCAAGATGCGGGTGATGGTGTAAATATAACTGGGCAGATAGACCGAGTCTGACCTGGACTCAGACTCTACTCGTAGTAAACACACACAACCAGAACACAAAGTATGACCTAGACCGGGTAAAACTTATCAGTTCGAATTATATTTCTTACTCTGTCTCAAGAGTGTACTTTTAGTGAGATAAAGATTGGATCCCATCCTCTATCCATAATTAATATATTTATAGAGGGGAGTGTGTGACCTTTTCCTATTCACCCGTAGACAAAATAGGAAACAAGTAGGAAGGTCACTGTAGTTAATGGAAGTACTGTACAATCAATGATTTTAATATCTACAAGCCAAGACACTATTCAATCAATGACTTTAAGGTAGATCTTCCATAGCCAATCAACCCTGCAAGATGACAAACATTCCTTTCACTGTATATCTCGTGATGGATGAGCGGCGAGGTGGTCCCCTGGCCTCTGATGCTGATTGCCATGCTTACGAGGGTGGGTGAACATTAGCTAAGTAGAAGAATATGACCAATCACCTTTCCTCGAAGGTTGACTGGTCATTTCTTGAGCCCAACCCGTCTTTTTGGTCTTCCGGAACGTCCCTCATAACATTAGGTGACATTTTGGTTATCGCCCAAAATGTGACCGATCGCTTTTTTTAAGGAAAGTGACCGGTTAACTTTCGACCCGTCTCTTTCGAAGAGTTTGCCTCATTTTGTAATTGAAGAAAGTGACCGGTCAACTTTTTGACATGTCCCTTTCGGATATTCGGGCATGGTATAAGGATATACCCATCAGCGGGAATTGGCCGGGGGAAGGAGAAAGTTAGGGGACGCATGAATAATGTGAAATTTGCACTAAATAGTATCAAAACATATGTCATTTCTCAATATAGTACTTAATTTTTTTTTATTTTTTAAATAATACTTGAATAATGTTCACTCATGATGGATATTTAGTTTAAACAATGCCTAATGACACTGGACATTTACTTGAACAATTATCAATACACAATGACTAATTGTACTATATTAGAAAAGTCATTAGTACAATTTATAGTTACTCATTTTTCTTCTTTTCAAAATTGTAGTGTAAAGTGTTTGAATGTTTGATGCAGCCATGGTGCACTGGTTTTCTATTCGGAGTAATTTTGACGCCAAAGATCAAATCGCAGGAACAAATTGATTAATGGAGGGAGGGAAGTTTTGAGTCTGTTGAGACAGTCGATGAAGACGAATTAGAAGAGAAACCAATAGACGCCACGCCCTAATCAGAAGTCGACGATCAACGAAGGTAATGAAGTCGCACCGTAGGGTTTGGCATAGCCTCAAAATCTAGTTCCGCCTCAGTGCTCAATTTCGGCCATGGCGGTGTGAGGCGCGCCTCGAGGCGGGTTTCCGCGATGCGGGTTCTGATATTGGTGGCATTTTCACCATGCGAAACGTGTGTTTGTTTATGGAATTCTTTTTTTATGCTTCTCAGGCTTGAATTGCAGTTGCTCTGACTTGCTGTTGTAGACAATTGGGAAGTGTGAAGGGGGACTGAGGGCTCGCTCTTGTCCCCTCCAAATGAGTTGCAAACAAGTAGAGATAATTGGTTGGGAATAATGAGCACTGAAGTTCATTCCCCATTTCTTGGAGTTCCGCTTAAGTGCACTGTTTTAGGAAGAAGAAATAAAGGGGATTATGCTTACCCAAGGGGAGTTAAATTAGAACCCCTCCATAAGGGTTCAAATTTCCAATCATGTAGATGTGCAAGGAGACACGATTGGGTCTTCCAGGGCAGAAAATTATTGCACTTCTGCAGGGAAAACCATCATTCATTATGGAAGAATCTGGAAATACGGAGCGGTTGGATGATTAACACTGTCAAGGAGTCCATTGTGGTACATAGCAAGACTTTGGTCAAGTTCATGACTTTAGTGTGGAAGAATGGATTATTTCATTTCGCAGTGCTCTTCTATTTGTTGGTTTGGTATGGCAAGTCTAAAGCAAAATGTTACATAGAAGCCAATCTGCTGCCTTCAGTATGTATGCTACTGAACGATCAAATTCAACGAGAATTCAATTTCGGTAAGGTTCAAAGAATTTCACCTTTAAGCATTACTTTGGAGTCCTGCTCGATTGGGCCTCATAGTGAAGAATTCTCTTGTGGTGAGGTATCCACTGTCAAATTACGAATTCGTCCTTTTGCGAGTGTGAGAATGGGAAAAGTTGTTATTGACGCTGTTTTGACCAATCCAAGTTTATTGGTAGCACAGAAGAAGGACTTTACTTGGTTGGGGATACCTTATTCGGAAGGAATTCCCCAGAGGCACTTGTCTGCCAATGAAGTAATCAACTATCGTACAAAAACTAGGAGGATTGCAAGGGATGAAGCTGCTTCCAGATGGGAGCGGGAAAGAGATGATGCAGCTAGACAATCTGCTGAAAAGGGTTATAATATTTCTGAATGCAATGATGTTATGCCTGATGTTGATGATTTGAAGGAAAGTACGAGTCTTCCTACTAGGTCAGGGACTCATGACAATTTCTTTTATAATGATAAGAAGTTGTACTGGAGAGATCATCATTGGATGGATGCTGGTGCTGAGTATGTTCTGAAGCATGCTGATTTAGAGAAATCATTTGGTGCAAAACTTTCATCCCCTGAAACCAGCATCTGGTCCAGAGTCATGCCAGGATTTGTTAGGCGTAAGTTCAATAAGAAGGCTAACAGAAGAGATTTACCTAGTTCAGGCGTTGCTTCAAAAAAAAGACTTCTTGAGCATAGTGCATACGCTGCTCGTTTATATTATCACGAACAATCTGAAGAGTCAAGAAACTCCACTGATGGATCTACAGGTTTTGGTCAAAATTTGAAGATCTATTCGACCCAAAATGGAGAAAAAGAAACTGCATCTACTTCTGCAGTATCCGGTTCTGAAGGAGATGCAGGACCTGAGTATCAGGTTCTGAAGTTTGATAATACTAAAGCAAAAAATAGTGAAGTATTACCAAATGAGGTAATCTCTGAGACGAGGAACAAGTCGAACAATCTCTCTGTATCTAGAGGAGACTTAGGAATGCACTCTAGGAATCAAACGAATAACTTGCGATATCCTTTTGTTTTTACTTTTAGTAAATCTACAGACTCGAATGACATATTTTCATCAGTCAGAAGTGTTGAAGGAATTGGAGTCACCAAGAACCCTTCCGCACATATTACACTAGAAGATGATAACATTAACACAGATGTTGCAAATGTAACAGTCAGATCAGTTGAGGAGGCGAAGATTGCTAAGGATGATATGTTGTACAATGAAGGGGGAAATCCTTCTGGCAGGTCTAGTCTGACAGAACTCAAGTTTTCAAAATCAGTGAACAGTTTTGGAAGTTCTCTCTTGAGCCCTGAATCAGGTTTATCCTCTGCCTTTAAAAACATCTGTGAGGCATGGACTTGTTTACTTAATCCTTTGAAATGGCTGAAATCTGAGATCGGTGTGGGAGCTGTGGATATGTCCACAGAACTACCTGATCAGACTGGTGAAGAAAATTCTTCTGGCATAGATGAAAAGATTCCTCTTGTCCTTGATTCTGTGCATTTTAAAGGTGGTACACTGATGCTACTCGCATATGGTGATGCTGAACCAAGGTAGTTATGCTTTTGTTACAGACAAGTCAAATTTAAATTCTTGCCTGTTTCCAAGCTACTGCACAAGAAAATACTGCGTCCCTGTCTTGCTAGCATGCTTGATCTATTATATTTCCCCCCTGGTGCATTCTTGTAATTAGAATTGGTTTCTGATGTATGATAGTACTCCATCCAACTCAATGGAATTTTCCAATTTTCCTTTTTTCGTCCGTCCCAGGAAACTTTTCCAGTTTCTATTTAAGGAGAGAAATTAGTGGTTCTTGTGTATTATCTCTTCAATACAAACTTTAACCACATACATAAATACATTATAATTTCTCAATCTCCATGCCCTATCATGTTGGAAAAACTAAACGGGATGGAGGGAGTACAATTTTTTTTGGAATCTATATTTCTTTGTTATACTTGCATAAAACTATCCTTGTCATGTTATTTAACCAACATATTACATTTAGATTTTAGAAAAGGAACTTTGAGTAACTATTGATATATACTTGTGTTTGCTCAAGGATGGACTATTCATTTATATGCATGTCTCATTTGTATTATCTTAAAGATAGGGGATGCCTTATTCCAAACATTTGGTTGTATTTGTTGTTCACTCTATAGAGAAATGGAAATTTCAAGTGGACATATGGAGTTCCTAAGTCACTACGGGCGTGTCCACGTGCATCTCAGTGGAAATTGCAAGATGTGGAGATCAGACTTGATCTCTGAAGATGGTGGACGGTTGTCCACAGATGTTTATGTTGATATCATTGAGCAGAAATGGCATGCTAACTTGAAAATAGCAAATCTATTTGTTCCGGTAAAGTAGATTGAGATTGTTGGCAGTTTATTATTTACCACAGGGCGACTTATGCTGTCTGCAACTTACTTTGGATGACCCTGACATCCTTTTCTTTCTTGTGTAGCTTTTTGAGAGAATTTTAGACCTCCCAATCACATGGTCTAAAGGGAGAGCTAGCGGTGAGGTGCTGCTCTCACTTATTGTTTATCTTGCAGAATGTATCTATTTATATATGATCCTTTGAGTGCTACTAAGAATGATCTTGCACGTTGGAAATTTATTGTGTTTGCACTTATATAAAACTTGATAAGCTGCACTAAAATTCATCGTTTTCATATAGAGCTTGAAAAGCAACCCTCTTCATTGTTTGGTGAGTGAATCCTCTACAGTATGTATTGGTATTTGTTTCCCTAGCAATAGTGACATATTTTTGAACTTGAATTTTGTCTCAACATTAATGTCTCTTTAGGTGTCACATTTCTATTTTACATTATATGTATGGAAGGTTATGCTCCTATAATAATGGTTGTGGATTTCGGGATACAAAAGGTACGAACATGGTCTTCAGTATGAACACTCTGCCCCTTCAATACCCATGGGTTTGTATATGTTTAGACTTAGACACGGTAGTTTCATTATGTTAAAATTTTTCATAGGGCTAGTTTCATGTTAAATTCATGAGTATTGTTTGGCTTTTCTGTGAAGGCTGTATCCTCGCTTGGCCTGTTTTCAAATGTGCATTGTGCAATAGATTGTGCTGCGCTGCACTGCACATATTATTCTTATTTGGATTGTGTTGCGTACCTAGGAGTTTTTGTATGTTAATAGTTATTATCATTATTGTTAATTTCCTATCATTATATATAATAGTTTTCTATTACTATTATTATTAGCTTCCTATTATTATTAGGAATATTAATAGTTTTCTCTTGGTAATCTTAATCTAATGTAGTTAATTTTCCAAATAAGGATTCATGTTTCCAAGAATCCTAGCATGATTATGGTAGGTGTGTTTTATGGCTTTGCCTATTTGTACTCGCACAATCAATGATAATCATCATCGTTGAAGCATTTAAACAATTCTTCCTAATGAGTCACGGACTATACAATCCAAAGTTCTTCCTCTTCTAGCCACGGGCAAGAGAGGGGTTCTTCATCCATTGAGGAAATCCATGCCACTTTTTTAATTGGAACATGAGAAGAGGTTCATTTGCACGACACATGATACCAGGCCACCAGGGATGACGCCGGGGAGGTCGGGTCACACATGAATTGGGGAAGGATTCTAAGATCTTTGGTTACCACGCTGACAATATCCGCAAGACGGGATTTCTGCAGCGGCTTTGAGGGATTTCTGTGACCTCGGTATGTCCTGATACACTCCCAACCACTTCCAACCTTTGTTGGAACTTCTGATCCTATTAGTTGGCTAAAGTGCTGTGAAAAATTTTTTACACCACAAAATATCTCCAACAAAGATCAAGCTGGCATTATTTCCTTCCCATTGCTAGATGATTCCCGACTTTGGTTGGATGAGATGATTGAAGAAGAAGGCACAAGGGACATCCGAACAGGAAATTCTTTGAAGAGCTTCGCGTTGACCATTTCAGACCACCCTGGACAGGGACCAGTGAGCAAATTGAAGCTCTTGATGCCGACCAGGACTGTTGAAGGCTATTGTGAACAGTTATTTTCCATTGTGGTCCTAGACGATTCTAGGGCAGAGGAAGGCCCACCGAATGGGTATCAAAGATTGCACCCCCGTACCTTGAGCTCGGGGACAAGCTGAAATTTGAGTGAGGGAGTTACGCTAAGGATCTAAGGGTTAATATTTAAATAGTTATTAACTTATTATTCTTAATTCACTATAATTATTTATAATGATTCATTTCCTATTACTATTATTATTAGCCTCGTATTATTACAATTAGGAATATTAATAATTTTCTCTTAGTAATCTTATTCTATTTAGTTAATAATCCTAAATAAGGATTCATGTTTTCTATTATGATTATTGTAGGTCTCTTGTTAGGATTTAGCTATTTATACTTACACAATGATTAAACAAATTGTCATCAATAAAGCAATTAAACAATTCTTCCTAATTAGTCGCGGATTATAGGATCCAAAGTTCGTCCTCTTCTAGCCACGGGCAAGGGAGGGGTTCTTCGTCCATCTCTTCGGATCCCTTAAAGATTTCTCTTGTGAAATATGTTAGCTGAAACTTTTGCACTTTCTTTGGTACCTTTGGTGTTGAGCTACAAATAATATTGCTTAGACATTTTAGACGTCTTCAGTAGAAAGAGCTGACGGTATGGGCCTCACGGTTATCAGTGTTAAACATAATTTCTAAAATTTTCAAATGATATTGTTCCACTGTGTGATTATGGCTGCTATGGTCTGTTTATTTAGACCTGTGAATGCCTGGCTCCTTGTTTTTTTCATGCCATTTCATTTCTTTCTGCTCAACCGTTGTCATTGAATGGCAATTACTGCTACAGCAGTCTTTTCAAGTTGGATGAAATATGTCTAATCTTGAACTTTCTCTGTCAACACAGGTTCATATATGCATGTCAGAAGGAGAAACGTTTCCGAACCTTCACGGGCAGCTTGATGTAACAGGGTTGGCCTTTCAGATATATGATGCTCCGTCATGGTTTTCTGTATGTATTACAAAATTTTATCTATATTCTGTCCTCTTTTCATTTCTCTCATTGAGTGGTTAACATTATTGAACCAGGATTTGGTTGTTGGCTAATGCTCAGGATTCATACAATACTATTCAACTTGAGGCTTCTTGCATTGTTTACGTAGTGACTTTATTGGCCACTGGATAGAATAACTGTTACAAATAGTAGAAGCCATGGAATCAATTACCAGCTTTTAGTAGTATTACTATCTGGTCTATTTCTCTAGATACTACTCTAGATTCTACCATATAATTAAAAAAAATCATGCATGAGATGAAAAATTTCTGCATTGAGATTGAACCGTTGTCAATGCTTTTAGACTAAAACTTGTGTGAAGTAGATCGAATGATCAGGATAATATTTACCTTTCTGCATCCAAAAAATGTTGTCAAGCCTACTTAAAAGTGTAGAAGAGCTACATGAGTAAATATTCTATTCTTTTCATTATGCAAGGTTCATATATTGTCTTCTTACTTGCTTTATGTGTCTTTAAAGTGTTATTAAGGGGTTCAGGCCACCTTTTCCAACAGGATATGTCTGCAAGTTTGTTTTTCCGTGCCCAGAGGATATTCGTGCACAATGCCAGTGGATGGTTTGGTGATATCCCATTAGAAGCATCTGGGGACTTTGGCATTGATCCAGAGGAAGGAGAATATCATTTAATGTGTCAGGTATGAAATCATGCTTTTGTGATGTCAAAGAATGTTATCCCTCTGATGGTATCTCTTTGAAACCTAATGTTCTGTCTGCATTCTTTAGATTGTTTTTATGTCATTCTGAGCTACACTTCTTGCTTATGTTCTTTTTTATTCTTTATTTTTATTAGTACCTTAGTAAATGATGTGATGCAAAAAGATTATGTAGTTGCCTCTGGAAGTGAGTTTAAGCTCTATATTCGCTTCTATGTATTTCATCTTGCTGCAATGATACCTTGTAGAAAAAGTGACATCATTTTGAATGGCGTTATCTCTTGAAACTGAAAGCTTCTCTTGCATAAGCATAACCTGGTTTTTGGCATTGTTTGACTATCACTGGAATTGTGTGGAAACCATCTCCTAATATTGTTAGGAAGTTTCTTTCCTCATCACTTTCGTAATGAAACATCAATCAATTAATTACAATGTTCCAAAGTCACTAACCTCAAAGTTTGTGGTTTGCTGTTTTGGATCTAGGTTCATGTTTCTGGAAGGAAATTCAATAAATGAATGACTAGGAAATCCAAAATCAAATATCCTGACTAGAAGTCAAAAGATGCATAAATAGTGGATACACTCTCTTTTAAATTATATTATGTGAAGGGTCCTGCGTACAAACTTCCTCTCTTTTCCAATTTTTACGTAGTTGTTGACATTCTGAGGCTGGTGTCTCAGGTTCCATCTGTAGAAGTGAATGCCCTGATGAAAACATTCAGGATGAAGCCTTTGTTTTTTCCGGTATGCTTATCCTTTATCCTCCATATGATTCTTTGTCCTTCAATCATACCTTGGGATAATTACGGTTCATTTCATAATTTATACTACCCGTTCTTGAATGCTCGGAGATCATTATCCTGATTTTATGAAAGTTGACTTCTTAAAGTTTTATTTGGCTTATAAATTGATTTGGGAAACGGTCTATGTCTATCTGTATTTTCTTCTTGTCATATTCATTCCCAATATGTCTGTGAGGATGTCTTCTATTCTACACATCACACTTAAATAGTCTTTTCCATTAACTTCAGCTGGCAGGATCTGTAACAGCTGTGTTCAATTGCCAAGGCCCATTGGAGGCTCCTGTTTTTGTGGGAAGTGCATTGGTCTCAAGGAAATTCACCCATTTGCCTGCTGATATTCCTCAATCAGCTGCATATGAGGCATTGATGAACAACAAAGAGGCTGGTGCAGTGGCAGCAATTGACCATGTTCCGTTCTCTTATATTTCGGCCAACTTTACTTTTAACACTGATAATTGTGTGAGTAAAGTTGTTTCTTTTATATATTCAAAATTCAAAATTGGTTTGAACTTTATCCTTTTGCTTGTTCATATGTTCATTTTTGGACTTGCACAAGGCAGGTTGCTGACCTCTATGGGATCAAAGCTACCCTTGTTGATGGTGGTGAAATTCGTGGAGCAGGAAATGCTTGGATTTGTCCAGAGGTTTTTAATTCTCGAAGACAGTAGATCGGGCTGTGCTTATAAATAAACTGCATAAGAAAATACTCCCTCCGTCTCCAAATGAACTTGACGAACAGAACAGTGCTTGATTGAAGTAATTTTCAATACAGTTTATTTTAATGTTGGTTTTATATTGAAATATAAATTTTACTATATTTAACTACTAGTACATCAAAAGTTCTTAAAAACAAGAGGTGACTATTTTATTTTAACACATGATCAATGAGAATATGCAAGGAAACACGATATAGTTTGACCTTTTAAATTGTAATTGTAAAGTTTGGAGATTGAGGGAGTATATTGTTTTTTTGGGAGTATATTTTACTCCACCAAGTTCCCTGTATTAACCTCTCATAGTTATATTTCGCCAACTAGCTGTGCAACCCAAGTTACTTCTGCCACTTCATTCAATGATTCTATATATAACTGATCCCGAGTCCTAGGCTCCAAGACTTTAAATGGTGACTTTTTGATCAAAAACACGGGGAATGAAATACATCTCAGCCATTTGGTCATTGCACCTATCTATTCCTTAAGTATATGAAACCCTTGTTCATATTTCCAATTTAGCTTGATGATGGTCTATAATTGCAGGGTGAGGTTGATGACAAAGCTATGGATTTTAATTTTTCGGGCAACTTGTGTTTTGATAAAATTGTGCATCGCTATGAATCTGGTTATCTTCATACAGTGCCCTTTAAATTAGGGGATCTGAATGGTGAAACAAAAGTTTCTGGCTCGCTGTTAAGACCGTAAGATTTTGTGTTCTGTCTTTCTAAATGCCCGATGGAACCCATAGTCTCAAAGTATTATTTATTTCTGGAGTAAATAAGTATGGACCACTTTCATGAATGTAGGAGATTTGATATCAAGTGGACTGCACCAAGAGCTGAAGGATCACTTTCTGATGCCCATGGAGATGTTATCATTTCACATGACCACATATCTATCAATTCTTGGTCTCCTGCTTTTGAATTGAGTACAAAAGTTTCAACATCATATCCTGACGAGAACTGCTTAAACTGGAGAGAGTATGGCAAATCAGGTGCCATTCCATTCTCCGTTGAAGGAGTTGAATTGGATCTACGATTGCACAACTTTGAATTTTTCAACATGGTTTCTTCTTATGCATTTGATTCTCCAAGGCCCGTGCATTTGAGAGCAACCGGAAGAATTAAGTTTCAAGGAGAAGTTGCCAAGGTTTCCAGCAGTGTTGATAGCGGAGTCTTTCAATCTGATAAGTATTTAGAATTACCCATGGATTGTGATGAAGATGCAAAGAGGATTTCTGGTGATATATCAATATCAGGTCTAAAACTCAATCAATTGATGCTTGCTCCTCAGTTAGCTGGAGTATTGAACATAAGGTCTAAGGGTATAAAGGTATGCTTTACAGCTTGTCTCCAACTCTTCATAGTCAGTAATCCTTAAAGATGTCATGATCATTGGGTTTAGCTCTTATCTTTATCATTGATATTCCCTTTACCAGTTACCACCCAAGGTGCTTCACAAACCCAATGTTAGCCAATTCTGAATGTGATCATAACTTGTATGGGTTCTTGGTCTTTAAAGGGTTGTACTGTGGGTGGAGGATGAAAATTCAAAAGGAAAAATAAAATATGCTGCCTATACATGTTCACTCCCTACAATATATGGAATCTTAACGTATTTGTTTTCCAGTGTCCTTGGAAATATCATTCTACCCTCTTGTTATGTAAGTGAGTGTAAATATTAAATGTTCCTTGCGTCTCCCTATATAAAGTCCAAAACACTTGCGCACAAGGTCCATCATCTCTGATCTATTTTGTGAAGCAGTTGGTGGCTACTGGTCGACCAGATGAACGTCTTGCAGTAGAACTTGTGGGACTGTTGCCGTCAACTTCTGAAGAAAATCTAGCTGGGCAGTTGCTCTCTTTTTCTCTGCAGAAAGGTCACCTGAATGCTAGTGCATGTTATCGACCACAACACTCAGCTAGCTTGGAGGTCCTTTCTCATTCATTTTTTTATATCTTAAGTTCCTTTCTGAGTCTCCCTCTGCTTCTTGTTATCCACTTCTTTCCTTCGTGTTGAGACAAAGTGTGTCATCTGGATGCAATTAGGTGCGGCATTTGCCACTGGATGAACTGGAGCTAGCCTCACTTCGTGGAGACATTTCGAGGGTAAACTCTTCTACTCAAATACACAACTAATGATGCTCTTCTTTGGGAATGGTTTGATTTCTTCCAAAGGAGCGCTGACATCTCCTTTTTTTGTGATGACTGTTTTTGGTTGCATGATTTTTTGGCTTTCTCATATCTTTTTACTATAAGATATTAATTAGAGTTTGGTAGATGGATACGTATCCATGCTAATTTCAGGATTCTACAGCAGATTATCAAGTACTCCGTTGCTAATGGTTTTGTTTTCTGTTTCCCGCTTTTCAGGCAGAACTTCAATTGAACTTCCAGAAAAGAAGGGGCCACGGTGTGTTATCTGTTCTGCAGCCAAAGTTCAGTGGGGTATTGGGTGAAGCTCTAGATGTGGCTGCTAGATGGAGTGGAGATGTGGTAAGTATCTTCATCTATACATTTGGATTAAGCAGTATGCTGCTGCTTGTCAGGTTTATTTTGAGTACAAGGAATCTGTTACATAATTATATCTTAATCTTTGAATTTAGGGATATTCTTAATGAAAACTGTTCCTGAAACCAGTGTTTTTGCAGTTATTTAGTTCGTTGATTTGGATTTAAGATATCAGCACTTCTTTTTTTAACACTATATTTAAAGGGTGTTTATTAGCTTAAACGTCTTTCAAGTTGCAATTCCTTATATTTAGTTCCTGGTAAAGCAGCCCTACACACATCTAATCTGAAAGAAAAAGAGAGATGTTTGTGTTCTTAATTTTGGCTAAGCTTGTAATGTACTGGTATTTCTTTGAAGCCTTTGTTCTTTTTCGTTTTCATCCTCTTGTGCATTTTATATTTGATTTCAAATTGTTGTTTCATTGACAGGTTTATGTCTGTTTGAAAGACTGAAAATACTTTTTTTAATATATCTTCCATATCGAATAAATCTCTCTTAAATAGAGATTGGGGATTACGAAACAAGGCATATATATATATATATATATATATATATATATATATATATATATATATATATATATATATATATATATATATATATATATATATA